GACCATCACAAAGCAAGAGACCCGAGAACTACAAAAGCGAGGCTCACCGAACCATTTATCTCTCCGCCCTTCAATTAACCCCACATGTGTTTACTGGCCAGGTTGGCACAATAAACTTTAGCTATATCACCATCCAGTTTGCATAAAATATGTAGCAGTATGTCCTTAAAAGCAAACACTCACTGCCATCCAGTTGATTCTGAGTCATGGCAACCTTGTCATAGGACAATACCTTGTCCTATAGGACAATGCACTGCCCCTGTGCATCTGAGCCCCTAACGCTTTACAGGAGCAGAAAGCCTTATCTTTCTCCAGTGGAGCAGCTGGTGGTGAACAGTCAACCTCCTGGCACCGTGACCTGTCCACTCTCCCAAGGTGACTGGGCCTCACGGCGTCCACACAAACATTAGGAAAATAGAGATGAGATCCAGCTAGAGCTCACATAGTCCCTGGAGTGGGGGTGGCTTCCCAGTCAAGAAAGTGACTGTGTGCTAACGCTTCCTACTGGCCAAGGGCAGCTTATGGAGAGGCTGTGAATAGGTGACAGTCTGAACTGGTGAACATCACCAGGCAGGGGATGGGTGCCTCATACCTTGAACACTGCAAACAGCGACGCAGTTGCAGCCAGTGGCATGGTCTGTGAGGGAAGGGCAGGGACCCTCAGACCCCTTGCCAGAGGCAGGCAGATCGGTGGTCCTGAAATACTTGTGATCTCATGATTATCGTCTAATGGGCTGGTGACTCTTGCCTGCCCCAAGTGAAAGCTCAAATCCCAGCAACCCAAGAAAAAGACAAAGAGGGGCTGAACGAGAGCACTTAAGAGCCTATCTGCTTGCAGCTGTGTGATCTTAGGCAGACATCCCCCTCTCTGCCAAGACAGACCAGCCCCTGCTTCTTATTGCTTCCTATACCTGGTTAGCTGGGGACCACTAAAGGGCACATTTTATTTACATCACATATTCAAAATTCTGTCAGATTCATATTAAGACCAATAAAGTATACTTGTTGGAAAAGTGCAAGGCAGCAACACTGAAAAGTTTACACGATCTCTTTCTTTTGTTCCGTCAACTTAATGCTAATGGCAGCTCTTAGGTTAGCCCAAAAAAGCCCGTGCTTGCTCTTCTCCTTGGGCCATTCCAGATACGTCTTCCTTGCCATGAGAGTTTTGAGCTTGTGATAGTTACTCGGAATGGTGTACTGTGGGATGGATTCCAGCAAGATCAGGATTAGGTTATGAGATCCTTCATGGAAGAGTTTGTGGTGGGCGAAGTAGAGCTCATAGTGGCACCACTCACTCTGGACAAAGTTGGGGGACAAAACGAAAATGGACTTGTAACTCTGCTCAGTGCAGTTTATGATGTTTTCCACGATGCTTTTGCCAGCCACGAAGTCTCTCTCATGGAGGCAGATCCGTAAGCCTTCTCTCTCTAGGTTTGGCAGTAGTTCATTCTTCACCCAGGCCGAATCATGCCCACTGTATGAAATAAACGCGTGGAACTGGACATTTCTCTGGAGTTCTTCTAAAGGGATGTTCCGAGCCCTGTACCGGGTCTGGGTCCACTGACACACCATCCGGAGGTACCAGGGCAGATCGAAGCAGACGCAGACAAAGGTCACAAGAGCAGCCAGCACCAGCATGCTGATGCCAATGGTGACAATCAGCAGAGTTGTGTTGCAGGCTAACTCAGACATGTGGAAGTCCTGTAGCGCAGTTTCCTTGTAGCTTTCTGGGTAGTCACACTTATAAGACTCAGGCCAGTCCTCGACCACATCACTTGACATGTGACTGATACCTTTGATAAAGTCCCTTAGCTCGCATGAACATTGGAATGGATTGTTCCCTGCTTTCACTGACCTCATCCTCTGGCAACTGGAGAAGAACTTCGCTGACGGCTGGGAAATGGCATTGTTGGTAATGATCAGTACAGAAAGGCTGCTAAGTCTGCCACAGCCAGGAAGGTCAGTTAAGGAATTGAAAGCAACATTCAGTTCTTCCAAAGCGTCCAGGCTGGTGGCATCTTTAGGAATGCTCTTTATTCTGTTATTGTGAAGGTCAAGTACTGTGACCTTCGGAGGTAAGCATCTGAAAACAGAGTCCGTCAGTATGTTTGAAGACATATTCAAAATTAATAAGCTTTTAGTCCAAGAGCAATTTATTCCAGTTTCATACCCGAGAGAATTCCGGCTAATATCCAGTTTTCGTAGAGACTTCATGTCCTTGGTCATATGAACTATCTTGGCCAGCTCTTTTAATTGATTCAATTCTAAGATAAGGATCTCCAACTTAGTCAAGGTTCCACAATTTTCAAAAGTTGCATCTGTCAAGAGATTATTGGAGAAGTTCAAATACACAAACGGACTAACTCGGAGAGGGCAAACCACGTGTACCATTCGTGTGCCAGTTACTCTGAGGCTTTGGATGTTCATATTTGAAAAGATGCTGTAAATATAATCCTGTTGGAGATAAAAGGCATGACTGACCACTTGGTGAACAGACAAGGCCTTCAGTGAAGTGTCAGAGTAATGAAACTCTCTCTGGTCAACTTGACCTTTCAGTTCCACGTTTGTGATGGAGAAATACTCGATGGAGGTGTGCCAAACCAACTGGAGAATCCTAATGAACGAATTCCAGGTGGTGTTGATGTTGTTGATGGTCAGGTTTAATAATCTTGGATTCCTTTGAAGCTTTAACAGAACACTGAAGAAATACTGTTCATCCTCATTTTGCACACACTTGATATTAGACAGCTCCAAATTGACGGCGCTGCTGGCTGCTACGTCCAAAACAAAATGGAAGGCCTTGTGTGGGGGGAAAACAATGTGTAGGCTCTTGGTGTTTAAGTCCTGGAGGCTCTCGGAGTCTTCATGTTGCCCATAAAGTTCTCCTAAGACCAGCAAAACTTTACTGATATTCAGATGAGCAATTAGCTGTACAGGAGATTTTTGCAACCGTGTGGCGCTTAATCCCAGGAAAGATAGTTCAGACATGTTGCCAAACTCGTTGCAGATGGGTAGGACATCAAAGTCATTAAATGAGAGGTCTAAGTGCCTGAAGTTTACAGTAGGGTTGCAAGAAATCATCCACAGTTGGTTGTGGGACAGATCCAAGTATTCCAATTCCAAGTTGAATTTGAAAATACTGGTATCAAGAGACTGGATCTTATTATGAGAAAGGATCAAAATCCTCAGCTTTGATAGTGAAGAGAAGTCAGAAGCCTGCAGTTGAGAGAAACAATTTTGTGACGCATCTAGGATTGTTGTTTTCAGCGAGATGTCTTTGGGAACATCAGTGTAATTGGCTTTTGACCTGTTACTGAAGACTTCATTTCCATCAGGGAACTGGGCTCTGAGCTTAAGTATTAACACCAAGAAGATGGCCAAGTGGAAGATGCTAGAATTCCCTTCAGTCATTTCGCGACCCCAGGCTTTCCTCACTGCCGTTGTGGTTGTTCAGAACATCTTCATGCAGATAGGGATCCTGGGGGGGGAGGGGGAAGGTCCACATTAAATGATTCTATTAGGTCAGATAGGGCTGACATTAATTATTTTTTCAGTAGAGACTCCTAAAATTAATGCTTTCTTCTTTGGGGCTACACAACTTGAACCCATAAAAAATACATGTCAGTAAACAAGCCTTCTGCAATTAAAAAACCAAACTCACTGCCCATCCATTGACTAGATTCTGGCCCATAACAACCCGACAGGGTAGAGTCGAATTCCCTAGGGTTTCTGAGATTGCAAATCTTCATAGGAGCAGAAAGCCTCATTTTTCTCCCTTGGAGGGACTGGTGAGTTGAATTTTGAGGTTAGCAGTCCAATTTATAACTCACTACACCACCAGGACTCCACACAAGCATTCTAATTATAGTCAAAGATCATTTAATGCTGAGGGTATACTGGTGAAAGTGGTAGCCCCAGAGATACAGCCACATACTCATCCTAAAAGCCTCTGATTATTACCTTTTTGGGTGGGTGGGAAAGCGGAGGGGCCTCTGCTGATGTAATTAAGGGTTGTAAGATGAGGATCGTGAGGTTACCTTGGATCCTCTAAATCCAATAAGTGCCCTTGTAAGAGAAAGGTAGGGGGAGATTCAAAAAAGACAGACATGCCAGTGTGCTGGGCTGGGTTGCCTAGAGAAACAAACCAGTGGTGTTCATCTGTGTACAAGAAAGAACTTCGTATCAAGAAACAGCCTTACACCAAGAAGTAAGAAGCCCCAGCACAGTCTAGCTGGAATTCATGGATCCAAAGCTAGCCAGGGCCCTCGTCTGTCTCACCAAGCGGCAGGCCAACGAAAGGCGAAGCAGGGAGATCACAGGGCAGTGAGAGCGGAGTCATGTGGATCCAAGGTCAGTGGAAGCATGGCAGGGCTCCAACAGCTCCCGGGGTCGGGAGGCCCACATGGGACCATCCCTGGAAGCAGACACTGAGTCCCCAAGGAGGAAGGCTAAGTGGCAGAGAGAAATTGTTTCCGTTCTATCATGCTTTTATATACAGGCCATAATTCCAAGGAGGTGTCATCACGCTACCACTTGATGGATGGGCTCAACTCTGTCCCTAGCCAGGAGTGTCTAGTTGATACAATATCGAACTACCACAGTCAAGGAATACAGAGGAAAAAGCTATATGAAGACAGCAGTAGGGACTGGAGTGATGTAGACACAAACCAAGGCATGCCAACAGCCACAGCAGCTGGATGAGATGGAAGGAGCTGGAAGAATGAAGGAATACATGACCTCCTGACTTTTGGACTTCTAGTCGCTGGAGCTATCTGAGACTAACTATCTGTTATTTTCAACTACCAAGACTCTGGCACTTTCTTATACTTGAATCCATAATCAATACCCATGGAAACAGCAGCCAAGAATGCAAACAACATACTGCATTGGACAAATTTGCTGCAAAAAATTAACACTTTACAAAGTGTTAAAAAAACAAAGGTGTCCTTTGAGGACTAAAGTGCTCCTGATGCAAGCGATGATATTTTAAATATGCACACCTATACCATATAGCATCGTCTCATAGGCACGCAAGAACCAGACAACAAATGTGAAAGGTCAAAGGGCCATTGATGTTTTTGAATTATGGTGTTGAAGAAGAATATTGAATCTCATGAATTTCTGGAAGAATGAACAGATCTCTCTTGGAAGAGGTACAGCATGAATGCTCCCTAGAAGCAAGGAAGGTGACACTTCATCTCATGCATTTTGGACCTATCCTGGAGGGACTTGTCCCTGGAGAAGGACATCATGCTTGGTGAAGCAGGGGCCAGTCCACAAGAAGACCTTCCACTAGATGGACTGACCCAGTGATGTCAACCGTGAGCTGAAGCATAGAGAGGATCGTGAGAAATGGACAACAACACAGTTCAGGTGTTCTTCTGTTACCACGATTTCTGCGGTGAGCATGGCCAGAGGGAGTTGGGTTGGAATGAGCCTTGGAGAGGAACACACCTTTCACACCAAGAGGCATGTTCCTGTGAGGCTGTCTCCTTAACCCATCTCATGGGTCATAGAAGGGCCGGAGCCGTTCATGTCCCCGAAACAACCCTCTTGCACTAATTCCCCAAGCTGACTATGCAATGGCGGCTGGTTCTCGGAGTTCCCCTTGGACTTAGCCTTCTGCAGAGCTCCCAAAGGATGCCTGGGGTGTCTTGATTTCCTCTAAGACACAAGAAGGGCTGGTGTGCCCCTGAGTCCTGGCAAAGTCTCTTAGAAAAGAGACACCCACCTTGAAGAGCATATGAAAAGTAAAGAAAAGCTAGCTTTTTGTTTTTATTGCATTGACTGTATTTGGCTGTGACCCAGGGATTTCCCAATTTGTCCTCTCCAGCTTCCTGAAAAAAGAAAAAAACCGTGTGTGTGTGTGTGTGTGTGTGTGTGTGTGTGTGTGTGTGTGTGCGCGCGCGCGCGCGCACGGGGGTGGTCGGGGGTGGGGGTGGGGGAATCTGCTCATAAAACAAAAATCTAAAATTAGAGTCCAAGTAATTCTCAATGATGGCCTGGGCCAGGGCCTACCATCTCAAAACAAAACAACCTAATAAAAAACCCCAAATCAAATTCACTGCCATCGAGTCAATTCTGCCTCATAGTGACTGTACAGGACACAGTAGAACTACTACTGGGGGTTTTCTGAAACTAAATCTTTGCAGGAGGGAGGAAAAAGCCTCCTCATTCTCCCAGGCAGTGGCTGCTGGTTTTGAACTGCTGACCTTGTGGTTAGCAGCCTCTGTGCTACCAGGGCCCATTCCCTGACAATTCCATGTGATGCATTCCATCACCCACTTCTGATCTGTCCTCAACTGTCACACCCTTCCAGAGATCTTCCCTGCCCCTTGTCTTGCCCTCTCTGTGGGTCTCCATTGCACTACTGCCACTTAATATACATGTAACAAAAAGCTGGGTAGATTCGAGTGGTTTGGGCTTGAAGACTCCAGTGGGGTTTCATAGTTAATTCTAAACTTGAATCCCAATCTGGGGGCCTTTCTGCCTCTGACCATCCCCAAAGGTCAAGGGCTAGAGGCAGTGATTAGTTTGGTCAGGCAGGCACGGTGTGCAGAAAATGACCCAGAGACCCAGGGACAGAGACTGGACCTCTGGCCTGAGCCTGCGTGTGGAGCGTACAGGGGACCCTCATCTCCTTAAAAGCCACTATCACCACTGCAGACTGCAAGGTGCCAAACCTCCCTTTCAGGTGTTCCCACACCTCTACTGAAGGCATGATTTCAGCTTTATATCTCAATAAGTTCATTTGTGGACTCAAATGTCTTCTCTTTGCCTGACTTTTATTTAAAGTTGTTCATTTGAAGGACTCAGTTTATGAAACCATTTGCATTCCTATAATTGATAAATCCAAGTATGGTACACACAAGAAACTAATTTTCAGGTACCTAAGGGATCTAGAAATTTTATATGCCACGCTTGTCAAATCAATAAAAATCAATGGAGCATGTCCCCCAGGCCAAACCATACAAGCAGTTAAAAAAATTAATAAAATCCCTAATGACTACCACTGAATTACATCTATATTAGAGTCTCAAAACTATGAAGTAAAATTATTTTTTGCTAAGTTGGTTAAATTAAGAACCAAAAAAACCACTATCATTGAGTCACGTCAGTCCCACACTATTTACTGAATGTTTTCTCTGCTCCAGCTCTGGAACAACTTATATAGTAACCACAGATTGACAGGATCAGATAGGACAAGTGTTTGTGTCTGCTTTGTTGCCTATGGTTTGGGGATTTTATTTTAAATGTAAAGACCTATTCACATTAAATTTTTTTCACCACATTGGGTAAAGTCTTGGAAATGTTTCTAAAATCTACAGTACCCAGAAGAGTTCCAGTAGCCAGAAGAAAAAACAAAACAAAACAGAAAAGAGTAGGTCATGGGAATAGCCCAGAGGAAAAAATGAAAACAAACCTGTTCTTAAGAGCAGAGGAGCCAATGCAAGAACACTTTACTTTGTTCTATTAAACTGGCATTCCATGAAGCTCACCTTCCTGACACGATCACTGAAGACAAAATGGGTGCATAAGCAAATGTGGTGAAGAAAGCTGATGGTGCTTGGCTATCAAAAGATATAGCGTCTGGGGTCTTAAAGGCTTGAAGGTAAACAAGTGGTCATCTAGCTCAGAAGCAACAAAGCCCACAGGGAAGAAGCACACTAGCCTGTTTGATCATGAGGTGTCGAAGGGATCAGGTATCAGGCATCAAAG